CACACACACACACACACACACACACACACACACACACACAATCTGGCTATGAAGCGTCAACATTAAGGTAGCTAACATGGGCTTCTTTAAAGGGACAGATCAGACTTTTTAAAGTGACGTTCCATAAAACAAATTAGTAAATAGCTTTTTGAACAACCTCAGTTTAGATKAATAAGAAATTCACTTTCATCGAATAGATAAACAGCTAATCCAATCAAAGTGCCGGTCAAAGGTTTTAGAACACCCTAATTTTTCAAATATTTCAATTTGATGATCAAGCAGCTCAAGTCCAATGAACGGTTTGAAATGGTACAAAGATAAGCGCTGAACTGCCAGAGGTTTAAAAAAAAAAACGTAAGGTTACCCAAAACTGCMAGTCAAAGTGTGTGTCCAGTTTCCTTTACCATCACAATACACTCAGAAAGGAGTGGAAACTCTGACTGAAGAGGTGTGGCTGACCCCACCTTGGATCCAGCAGGACAGCACCAGATCATCACACTCCTTCCTCCATGTTTATCGGTTGTCACACACACTGAGAAACTGTACCAAAATCCTGCATGATGAACTGCCGATTTCAAACTTGTATTTATCAGTCAACACCAACACCTTCTTCAGTCTTCACTGGTGGCGTTTCATGGTCCGGGCACGCCTTCTTCTTCTTATTCTGATGTCTTAGAGGTGGTTTTCTTGCTGCGACTCGACCCGTCAACCTGCAGCTTCACAGTTAAAATAGACTAGCCTTCTACGACCACTATTAAGCTGTGCTTGAAGCTGAAGGCCTATGAGCCACCTATCTGATGCTGTCATGGCTCTGAGTCTGCCACACCTCTTCCCGTCAAGAGTTTCCACCACTGATCACAGGACTTGAGATGCTTGAATTTCAAGTAAAAAAAAACTAGGGTGTTCTAAAACTTTTGAGTGGTACCGTGTATTCCTATCTTTTTTAAATAAACAGTTACCTGTAGTTCGCATGACCTGCCACGACTTTTAACGATTGAAGTTGTTTTGAGATAGCTCCATCACACTCACCAATTGTAGAATTTAAAGGGGCAATATCATGTAAAATCAACTTTTTTGAGTTTTATATACTCTCATAAAAAACATGCCCAAAGCCTTGCTTTGACTCATTCATGCACGTTTCAGAAATCCTGCAGTGTTTTTAGGCAGCCATGCTGAGGAGCAAAACGACAGGTGGGGACCAGAAAC